TTTATTATCTACAAAGTTATTTTTACGGAAGAAACTATGTAATTAAGTTCACATATTTATTTGTTTACAGTACGCTACTGATATATAAAGTTCTAAATGGTTAAAATATCAAAATAAAATAAAAAAGAAATTAATAAAATTGTCACAGTATAAAAATGAAGTCAATAGTGTAATAAAAGTTGACACTTTAAAAAATAAACCTTTTAAAATGTCATAATTTGAAAAATACTTATTGTAATTGGACATCAGTTGGTCTACAAATAAATTCTGTCCATAGTTAGTTCTATGAGCATTTACATAAAATAGTTTCATATGCCTAGTAAGTCTGGCAGGAACAAGGAATCTAATAAAGTGTACCAGGCTGTCACTATCAATCAAACCGTTCAATACAGGAAAACAAATGATGCTTCTCGACATCTGCATTCCAAACTCTTATAGGTCCCTCTCAAAAATAATATCAAGATCATTTATAGTTTGCTCAAAACTTAGTTCAGAACCTGCAATGACAATCATGCATAATGATATTAGCTGTTTTATTAAACCTTATGACTTTACATTTATCAATATTCAGTTTATATCATATTAAAACTATGATTAGTACCAGTTGTAGGCAAATATCTTTTTTTAGCATCCTACAACTGCCATCTTAATAAAAATCTAGTGACTTTTGAAATATACCTTATATAAATACACTTTTTACTACTTTTGTACAATCGTGCACCATTTTAGCTACCAGTGAACCTTTGCAATATAGGTACCTTATTATACTCGTTCGTGCAAGCGTTCAGTGTTTTCGATTCTAGTGAACCTTTGAGATATTCCTTATATACCCTTTATACCAACTTTTGTCCAATTTATCAGTGTTTTTTTTTACCTATATTATTAATACCTACCTCTACTTGTATGATATTGGTTCTTGATTTCAAAAGCTTTTTAATAATAAATTTATACAATTTTTTATTTTGTTTTCTTCAGATTTTACTATATCCTCAATATACTATTTTGAATATAGTGTATCCAAGGATGGACATAACTATACTTGTAAAGATATTTATTTTAAATTTTTCAAAAGGTCTTTTTCATAATTTCTCAACGTTAATCGTATTTATTTAACAAGCAAAAGAAATTATGAAGAAGTACTTTTAAATTTAAAATAAATATTTTTACAAGTATTGTTAAGTTCATCCGTGGACACACTGTATAATGCTGTAGAATGAATTCACATTATAACATCTATAGAAAGTTTCAGAGCAACTTTCAGGGTAAGTACCGTAAAAGTGCTAGTGTGATGTTTTCCGAACTTCACTTTTTTACTTCTGTGAGATGTGCTATAAAAGTCTTGCCGTTGCGGACATTCGGTGGTTGCAGGGATGATAGGGTTACATTAACAGTACATTGCATGCGAGCTTAAAGAGCCTAAAATTGCAGCTTATTAACGTAGATGGGATGTTTTTGTGCTAGCTGGGATGGATACTTTTGCAACGGAGATTATATCATATTAGTTTGATGTAACCTAATTCCTGTTTATGGGATCCAGGATACACAGATTACTGTTTCTTAATATACAATGTCACACATAAAGTGCGCGTCATATGGGATTTTTCTTTTCTAAATGATGTAGATAAATTTTTACTTTGCCATCATTTGTTGCTTCAAATGATAATGAATAATATAATCACACACAATATAATACACTCTTCTAGATCCATAATTTAAGATACGGCACTGCGACTATTTTAGTACTGATTGAAGAGATGAGAGATGCGTGAATTCGATACAGAAGCCCAACTTTTCGACCGCGATTCTGTATCTCGGATACGCGTATCTCGCATACAATAGCCTTGTCTGAAAGAGGGGTTATGTATGGGTGCAACTTGCGCGAGGATGAAAGCAGAGATGGATTTAGTCAAGATTTTGGCGGGACTAGAAGCAAGGTACAGGGTGCACCTATGTTGCGAAAAAGTTTCGTTAAATTAAGTTTAAAGCATAATAAAACAGTTGTGAACCACTAGAACCCACAAATACCCTGATGCCATTTCACCTTTCAATGCATTGACCTTTCTTTACACCTTTGTACTCAATTCCAACCACTCACATATGGCTTATCTTTATCCCTAATTTTGTTTCTCAGATACAGTGTGGACACGTAAATTGTTTCCGACAATTTTGTGTTATGTAAACTACGCAACCAACGGCTAACGACGAGTGCAGCGTAAACATTGCCGTTCAACTGCAAAACAGAAATTTTATTAAATGTTTCATAATTGCTTATCTGATTGATACATTTTAAAGTTGTAAATATAAAGTCTGAATCACAACGGAAGGAAATTTTTAAAGTTTCTTTTCAATTGTGGTTTGGGATGCTAACTTAGATTTTATTGAAACTGCGAATGGTTGTGGTAAATCAATTTATTCGTTGGCCAGCATACAATTTGAGATACAACTAGTGAGTAGCGGGATGTTTAGGGCAACTACTGCTTTCTTTTTGGTGTTGGTGTGGTTCTTTTACACAATACTGCTGTCATAAAAAAATAATATATCATTATGACAGTTACTAAAGCAACTCTTATATATAGGTTAATTACTTTTTCTTGTTAAAAAGTGAATTTTTAACCCAGTCCTTATATCGATTCTTATACACTTTTCAGATATTGGTCTGTTAGCTGCAAGGAATTCAAGAGTTGGTATGAGACCATTGAGAGGAAAACACAGAAAGTTTTTAACCAGATCTATATGGCTCAACAACAACAACTTGGAAAGTTTAAATAACATAGATCTTTTCATTGCTGCTACTTTAGAATATCCAGAAGAACTTGGTTGGATAGATGTGTCTTTTAATAAAATTAAAAATATAGATGAGGTGATTCCTTATTAACACTTATTATTAATAGCCCAAGAGCCCACTGCAAATTTCGACCGTCATCTGATAACGAAATGAAATATGCCTTGAAAGCTTGTAAAAACATTGTAGTTTACCAAATGGCACATGTGCCAATTTCTATTTTGAGTAAGGTGGTTAAAAAAAATATTCTATATTTAAACAATTACATAAGGCATGACAGCGCTAATTTTGTTTGCCCTAAAAGTTTTTCAGAAAATAACATATTTAAATATATCTTGAGTACATCGTTAAAGGGAAACATTTTCTTCCACTTAACATCGCACAAAAACATCTATCCACAATTAATAGGTAACAATCGTTAAAAATATGAATCAATTTTTGATGATTTAAAAATTTATTTGTATATTTGTTGTAATTCATTTTTACAGGTTGTCATAGATTTTTTGGTCACGTGACATAGAGTGAACCATGTCAATGGAGGAAATGGAGGTTACATGTGTATCGAATAAAAACAGCAAAACGAGGTACAGCATTTTATTATGGTTTGAAAGAGTTGTCTAACATGAGTTTAATTATTATTGACTATTTGTGCAAATGGTTTACGAAATGCCATCCTTCTTCCTCTCACAAATACACATGGTACATGCCTTTGCAGCATATCTCATTTCGTTATCAGATGACGGTCGAAATTTACAGTGGGCTCTCCTACTATAAATAGATGCATACATTTTCCATTTTTTTACCTAATTAAATATAATTTTTAGAGTATACTAAAATTTAAAGAATTAAAGATAATATACTTCCACGGTAATTGTATATCTGATTTTGAGGAAATTGAAAAACTGAAACTACTAGCCAAGCTTCGGACCGTTACATTTCATGGAAACCCTATAGCAAATCAACCTAACTACAGGCATCTGATTATCACAACATTACCACAGGTTAGACGTTAATTTAATATGAATTTCTTTCTTCAATTTGGAGGAACCTTTTACAGTGCATACCTGCTTAATAAAAATATGAACTGCAATGATTTAATATAACGATTGATTCAAAAAAAGTAAGCCATGATCAAAAAAGAAAGAATTACTCGTTAATTAAAAGGTATAGTTGTTAGGCTAGTCAGTTTGCTCTTCCCAAAGACGTGGCTCCTGATGACCATATAGACAGCTCTTTCCGTCTTTTCATAAAGCCGTTAAACCATGACCTTCCAGCAGTACAATTTTCTGTCCATGAGAGGGGTATTTTCTTTCCATTTGCTACTGCCAAATCATAGGCTAACTTTTGGGAAAGTTTTGGGTTCATACCATGATGAAGTTTCGTCATGGTTTGGAAATATTCACTCAAAATGTCCTCTTGTTCAGGTGAAAATATTTGATTCACTCTGTAGTTAGAAGTAAGTCTTGATACTTCTTCTAAAAATTGTGAGTTCCAGTAAATATCATCTTCCTTTTCCTTGCATTTTTGAAAATAACTCCTTATTTAAATAATTATGTGGTGTTCACTGTACTTACGTTTACCATGGCCACTGTACCAACAAACAACTTGCTTGAAAAACAAGTTAAGCAAAAAAATATGTCCCGCATAAGAATAATTTTTATGTCAAGAAATACTTACATTCTATATGTATATGTTAACAATAATAGATTACTCCGATATATTTTAATTTGTTCACTAAAAAAAAATACCTCCTTGGTGTGATTTGCTGTAAACAGAATATAGGTAAGATCTATTTCTGGACGAATAAATGACACCTGTTACAGATAACTTTGTCGACGCAGTTTGTGTATATTAGCTAACCTTTATAATAGAAGGCAGCATTAGATTTCTTTTAGGATAAAAATTGCGAGCAAGTAGCCAGTGTTCTTGTATGGCTACTGTTCCAGACTCTCCCCTACCTCCAAATTGACTCCTGAGCAAATTATCTCAAAAATTATTATTTTAGGTCATAAATCTGGACTTCACAACAATTCATGCTACTGAAAGGTTGTCTCCAAGAATTTCAGAACCTTCTAGATGTGACAGAACTTAAAAAAATAAAATATTTATTTTATCTAAGTACCTATTTAATATCAGAAAATTGAATTTTTAGAGTAAAAAACCGTAGCAATGTATCCATTTATAGCCATTACAAAGATGTATAAAATATAAATTAGGTAAGTCTGTAATAATTTATTTATTAAATTAAATACATAATAATAAATCAATGATTTTAACCAAAATATTCTATTAATTTCCAACCCCTTTGTTCTAAATTAGCACCGTTTTTTATCATCAATAGACATACAATTTTCATAAGTTATTGTCATCTTCCTAACATGCCTAGGCATCTGCTAATATCCTGGTAAAATATAACAAATATAAGAAGAAAATTTTGGTGTCAAAATTCAACGCATCTCTTTATGTGTATGTATTATTTCTTTTTTGCACGTGCTGCTTCTTCCTCTCTTCTTTTCTCCTCTTTAAAATATTTTAACGCCTCTGCAGGAAGAGGACTAATTTTTTCTGTCTTGGTTACTGCACTAAAATCTAGATTTGCTAACTAAAACATAATATTAATACAATTCATATTGAGTGTTAATATTTTTAAAACAAAAAATGCCATCATGAATTTATAAAACAAAATAAGTACTTAATAAGCAGTGTTGCCAATACCGAAGATACCATTAGCGCAAATTTTGATAAAAAAGCGCAACTTTATTACCAACATAAAAAAGCCAAAATATTGAACTTAAATATGATTTAAAAGATTTCTATGTTTAAAAGTAATCACCAAAGATTCAATACGTTTTTGACATATAAATTTTCTTGAAAGTGTATTTGTCTGTTTTGAGTACACAAAGAAAAATTCTTGCTTTAAGCAAAAAATAAGCATTTTAGGGCATGCCACAATCTTTATTTAAGACATTTGTAAGTACGCATTCAAAAATTGAATAGGGCAATGTTAATTTAAGAATGCCATTATTCAAATAAAGAATATTTTACTTAAACTAAGAATTAGAGTCATGCTGAATTTAAAATATGCATTCTTGGTTACATACGACAAATTTCTCTCTGTGTATCAAAATGTGTTACTTATGAGAGTAAAAAGGAAAATTATAAAATGTTATTACCAGTCGCATTTGCAAGTAAAAATCGTAAAAAAGGCGCAAAAAATGGAAGGCGCAATAAAATCGCAACATTTAGATAAACAGAGCAAAAGTTGTACTTTTTGCGCCCAATTGGCAACACTGTTACTAAGTTTGGTAATTGAATATTACAGTTTTTATATTTGCTTAAATTTTCCATTATGAAAATATTGTATTTACTACAACTAGATCACGATATAACTAAAGTAAGTACCTATAAAGACTAGAGTGAAAGAGTCGAATCGACAATGGCCAAATAAATTACGTATAATACACATTTTACATCAGCACTTATTTTTTAACTATTAAAAATCATTTTTGTATAGCCTAAACAATCCTAAATTAACTAAACCAAGTTTAAGACACAAATCACAACAAGAATTTAAAAATTTGGCAAATGTCAAATTAACAACTATGTCGCAGCAGTTATGCGCAAGATCGGCTCTTACAACTGTTGATGTAATGCACGGTTGCCGTATCAAATTTTCTTTAGACTAATAAAGGAAATTATAATACTAAAAACTAAACAAATTTGTAGAAGGTTAAATAAACATTTTTAGATTATTACCTACTCGAAATATGTTTTTCATACAAATGATTCAAAAATGATCTTTTTAAATACCGCTTGTCCTTTCAAATTTGATCTGTTAATGTTTGAGTTTCTATACTCAAACAACTTTATTTCACGCAAAACCACTCTAACAAATCGATTTTATCAATTGGTTTGTTTTCGTGGATTTTCCAAATAAATATGTTTTCGTGGAAACTAAACATTTTATCGATAAAATTTGTAGGACTCCTGGTATTACATTTGAATATAGGACTCATTTAAAATTAAAAACAACAGTGTTATATGAGCTTTATTTAGCAAAAAAAAGTTAATTTTTATTATTTTCACAAAATTATAAAAAATCCCCATGTATTTCCAGTATCAATTGGAACATCAGCGCTCCTGCAAAAAATTACAAAAGCTCAATTAGCGTTTGTTGTTGGGGACCGCATCGCGAGCATTAGGCATTCCAACGACCTGTAAAACTGCTGACAAGTGGGAACTGGCATTTAGATTTGGCAATCCTGTGAGCCTGTTGTCATTGACATATATAGTTTTATAGATTACTCAAAGCGGGTCGTTTACGAGCGGCCATATTGCCTTCCAAGCGCTCAATAATCAGAATCGATTTTGCAAAAATGTCTTTACAGACCAATATTTAGCCTTTCAATATAGTAAAAAAATAATTACCTACATTTTTAATTCAAGGCATAAGCTTATGTTTATTTTGAAAAATATGGACGATCAATCTATGTAACTATCTATTTTATTGACCTTGACAAAACATCCCGGCCTACAGGCTTGCCATAGTTTTGCCATATCATAACCTGTCAAAACCCACTGGTAGTCATTTTGTTTGGAATACCTAATACCGATTCGCTTCCTTTTCTATAGTCTTACTAACTCCAATTTAAAAACAAAAGGAAACTAAGCTAAAATTGATCAAGGTTGCGAGTAAAAATTGGCAAGTGTATTTACGGCAACAGAGATATAAAGAAGAAGGGATAGGAAAGTAGCTGCCCGGCTAGTAAGCATGCAGGAAGAAGTGCCTGGGCATGGAGGTAAAATAAGGAAGGATACGCAATCACGTAGTCAAGAGTGTCACCACGTCGTTACATTGATGCTAGACTTCCTCTCATTATAAATAATTGTAATATAATTACATAAACTATTCGTCTCAAAAACATTAAAATAACAATGACGTCGTGTGCCAAGCGCAATTTCACAAGTAGGAATTATGTAGATAACATGATAACAAAAAACTTTTAAAAATAACATTTTATAAGTATAAACACAGTGCAGAGTTGTATTAAAATAAAATGTTGATATACTTTTCAGAATTAACTTAAATGATTTATTTAGGAATTTCTTAGTTTCTTTGTTTCTTTTTTTTTAATTGTTATAAGTACATATTTAAGAATAAAATACTCCAAAATAAATTTAAAATTTCCAATATAATAAAAAAAATATCTGAATCCAGTTTATTTAAAATGTATTTTTTATTTATTGCAGTAGCCAACAAAGTAACAAAATTATATATTATTTAAAGAATTTTTAGAATACATGTTTAAATGAAAGTAGCATCTCCTTCAATATCCTACCTTCACGGCCTGTACATTAGTAAAAATGTGATATTTAACTGTCATTATTGACTAGCAATAGACCTTTTCATCGTGTGATGAGCGCAAGCGCAGCCACCATGTCAAAATAGTGGTAGTTCAAAAGTTTCGTAGTGTTTTGATCGACAATGGCTGGAAAAACAATATTATTTTTACAGAAAAATTAATCATTAGAAAAAATCGTTGATAGTGATTAACTTTTTTATGACACTGTGGAAGCAAATAGTTGTGAGCAGTTGAAAAGGTGGTTGAAGTGTCTTGGACGTTTGCTACAAAGGAAAAAGGTGGACTGATTGAGAGGTTAGGTGTATCAATACTTCTTAACTGTGTAAAGAATTAATGAAAACTAATAATAATTATAACTCTATTCTAATTAATTATGCCAATCAACTATTAGTACTTGTAAAAACACTTTAATTAATATGAAAGTTAATCAGGAGTATACTTAATAAAATACATTTTTTGATGATTAACATGACATTTTACCGTGTATACCGAAGTAGTATTTAATATTAAAAAAATATTGTTTAATGCCAGATAAGAATTTTCTTGTTGGACCACTATCTCCATAAAAATGTAGTGAACAAACATAAGTATCTATCTTTAGTAACATCATCAATCCATCGAAAACTGTTGTCACTTCGACCACATTTTTTCACACCTAATGCACATTTTGAACATGTTTTAATGATTTTGCCTAATAATTTGATAATATTTTACGATATTGCAGCCAAGGCTTTGGAAAATTTATAACATAATATGTGTATTGCCTTTGAATGATTTATACCGTGTGTCACTTTTACATACTCCATAACAACACCGTTTCGTTGTTCCTTTCCGTACAGATAAAATAATTATAATTGATTGCAAAAATTTATTTTTCAATTAAGACACTAAACTTATTATTACTTTGCTGTTTTTTTCTTTTTTTAAATGAATATACTTAAATTAATAATTTTCGATCATAATTTGTTTCATGTGGGCATTTTAACATGCTTCTTTACAAAAACAGTACAAAAAAGATGGCTAATACTGAGGCATGCGCACAAAAAAAAAATTGTGATGAAAAGATCTATTCGTGTACGAATTATAAAGTTTTTGGGTTTTGAAACGTTATTTTGGTTCGAAAACCCGAAAACCTTAGCCTCAAATGTCAAAACTTGAAGTGCGAACAGCAAAACGCTACTCATGTGTAACTTTTTTGAAAGCGCTTTACGTTTTTCAAATACGAATAGCACAGCAAGTAGAGAACGTGTGTGCTTTATACTTTTGTTAGTTGTATGTCGCAAAAACGCTGGTTAGAGAATAAGCCCTCTGGTCGCGCACGCTCTATAGTTATATTGTGAACTTGCTTAAGTATTACACCTACTTGTGGTAGAACAGCAACTACAAAACCTCGGTACCTTGGATGATTTGAAATAGGATTTCCATGAAAAGTTAAATGTTTCAAATTGTGTAGCAGTTTCAACTTGGCAATTTCATTAAATTCGTTAATACAGTTTCCGTGTAAATAAAGCATTTTCAGATTTGGAAACTTCGAAATACTCTAAAAATTTAAATTTTTGCTATAAGTTGGAAAAACTAAGAAGAGTTTTCATTTAAATGGATATCAGCTAATCTGGCTTCAAAAAGTTATAACTGTTACTTATCCCGACTATGAAATATCGCGAAAAATATTTTAATTGCTTTTCCGTCTTCAAATCTAGTGGAAAAAGGTTTCAGCACGGTGATTTAAAATCAAACATCACTAAATTGATGCCAAATATTAAAAATATATTATTAAAGTACCACGTTAATCCTCCCACTAAAAAGCGTTATTGATTTTATGGTTTGTAATAATGGAAGTTGCATTAATAAATATATAAAAATTATTGTTTTTTTTTTTCTAGACCTCACTACAGTAAGAAATCAGTCAAAACACATTTTCAAAAATGCAATATTGACTGAACTAATAACCATAGCAAGTGGTCTACAAGACAAAAATTTTGTAGACCTCTGATCTGGAGGGTCATTTATTGCCTGTCCTTTTTTTGTACTTTAAGGAAGATCTCTGTTATTTACGATATGGTATAGAATACTATTGCGGAAGTATGCTTTGACATTTTTTTTATTTTTAAAGGAATTAAATGATTGCTTTTTTTGTTCTGAAAATCGGCCATCAGTTATCAATCACCCAAACTAGTTGTTTTTGGTTAAATTGAATTATTTATCAGATAGATATATTCACCTCATCAATATTTATGATCTGATTAAAAGACAAATCCAGCCATTCCAACTTTTCAGGATGTTCCAGAACGGTATCTAGCAATTGATCAATATTTTTAAAAGTTTTTAATTTATTATTATTTAACCATACGGATTTGGTCAGATACTTTCTCTTTGGGCCTCTGAATGGAATACCTTTAACTCTGGCAAATTTCGCTGCATCCAAACCAACTTCTACAAGAAAAAAGTATGGATACAGGTAAGAGGTATTAAAACGATTAGTATAAAATTTTAATTGAACTTATATTACAGTTAATTTCAATTAAAGAAGTTATAAAACATATTTTTGAAAATTACCTACTTTCTAATCTTTTTGTCTACATTATTAGAAAAAAGTAACTCATTTTAGTAAAAACATTGGTAGCGCGTTACAAAAAATATAAATAATGATTCTCCTATTCTTACAAAAATTATAAAAAGAACTTACTGTCAAGAAATACGTCGGCATTGCAACTTCTTATATTTTGAAATGAAAAATCTGCAGGTTTTTCAGTATATGTAGGATACATTTCACACGTCCGTTACCTACAATTTTTTTGATAAGGACACGTTTAAATAGATCAAAAATTCTGTTTGTAGAAATTTATAAATATCTTGAAGTATAAAGAATCAATGTGACACCTTTCAAAAACATATAAAAAATATGAAGAAAAATAAGCAACAATTCATAGAATAAAACTCTTACGACTAGTAGCTCAGCTTTCTGTTCTTCCTGTCATTTGATAATTATATGAGATAGTATGTGACTTTATTTAATAGAGTAAAGAAAGCATAAAAATCTTTTTTTTTTCCACGAGTTTTCATCACTGATCTGTAACAGATCAGTGGTTTTCATCAAATTTCTAAGGGTGCGTACGGATGTAACCCAACACGCTCGGGCCGTTCCTAGGCCAACCTTGGGCCCGGAGTGGGGTAGAATGCTTGTCAATAGGCTTGTGATTCGACCAGATTGTGGACTGGAGAATAACAATGTGAAATAGAAAATGGTTACTATAAATACTCCCAAGTGAGATGAGTAACAAAAATGGCTGCGTCCATAGAGTCGCACCTAGTTCTACTATTGATATCATAGACATCACCAGAGATCAGGGACATGTGCCTTATTGAAATTCCACATCCGATGCATTTTTTACATCTCAAGCGTTTGTTTATTCACATCGGACACATCTGTTCCATTACATTTACGTATACTGAATCACGTGACCAAAGATTTACTACATCTCAGATGCATCCGATGTGTATTCTCAAACGCGGCAATTATATCCGATATCTTTGATTGATACTTAGGCAAAAGAAGAAAACAGATGAAACATTTCATTCATAACGTAACATTTGTTTGGTCCCAATTATTGAAAAAGGGAAAGACTCTGAGAAAGAAGATATTTTATGCGGATTGAAAGAAGACAGACTGTAATCCTAGATCTCGTCTGGCAACGCTGCTGTTACACGCAACTAAAAGTCTGTCGATACCAGTGCCCACATAACATCAATGTTCTATGAATATACCAAGAACGTTCTGTTTAAGTTCTTTTTAGTATATCCTTTTAGAATAGTCTTAGAACATACGTAGAATATACTTTAAAAGTATATTCTAGAAAGTATATACTAAGTACGTGCCTTAAAAGTATATTCCAAAAAGTATATACTGAGCACGTGCTATAACAGGACATTCTTAGAAGATACTAAAAGTCATATACCCAGCATCTACCTCATATTCTGAGTATGTTCTAAATACTTGCAGGTAAAAATTAACACCAAATACATGTAAAAACAAGTTTATATACATATCTATATGAATTTTTCCCAGATGCCGATCTAATAATTCGCTACCAAACGCACTAATGTTGAATGTTTAGGCCAAAAAACATTTACAAACTAAAATAAAAGAAAAGAAGAAGAATAACATAACCTACAATTCCTACACAGTGTTGCCGTTGCTATTACAATTGTAACAAATCTATTACTAAAAAGATACACCAGTACGTTATTACGACTTTTAAGAAAAAAGGAAAAATCTTTTACTTTTTAAAATATCGAAATTTTATGAGTGGTTCTATCTAAACTTCAGAGCGCATGATTAAAAAATTTTAGAAATCTATACATTTGTTATGTCCGTTTTCTTGTTTAAACAAATCCAAGATAGTGCCAGGTTTTATAGTATAGTAGGAGATTACCACCAGCCTCCAGCATTTCAACAAAATTTATATCTTGTTTTTAATAACGTAGACCCCTTCAAGACTTTAAAGAAACATTAAATTACAAACATTCACCTCTAGTGAATTTTGGGCTAACATCTTTGAAATAAAAAATTTACTGGACGAGCCAATGTTTCCTAATTTAAAAAAATTAATTTGCGGTTTATTATCGTTACCCCATTTTTTTGCAACAGCAGAAAGAATTTCCTCTCAACTAAAAGTTTTATTGTTAAATGTATTTAATAACAGTTCTGGTACATTTATGTTACATTCAAATATTATCTATTACGATTTTATTACCTTTTGGTTCAAAATTCTATTACGAAAAAATTAATTGATGTGGCAACACTGTTCCTACAAATTTTTTTGATCTCGTTTTTTTTGTAAGAGGTAAGTTAATTAATAAAAATTAGTTTCATCGTATGTTCTATATGAAAATAAACAAATTTTACTATATTTATAGTTTTTAGGACCTATAAGTGACGTTAGAATACAGGATATCCCAAATATTAATTGCCAGTGTGAATTTATTAATATAGTTAATACTAATGGTGGATTGAAACTAAAATACAGTGTTACCAGAATTACATACACACTTTCTATGAAAAAAATCCTGTAAGGCCAGATATTGACCTGGAAGAACTAGAAAAGTTAGCTAAAGGAGGACGAAAACTACAAAATGGTGGTAAGTAATTAACAAAAATATATTTAAACTTTCAGTAAACATCATAATCATAATCAACTCTTGTTTTTGTTAGTGGAATGCCATGTACAATTTTTAATGTTTTATGTTCTTAATTTGTATATGTCCAAGTTTGTTAATTTTTTTTATTTTTTAGGTTCAATGAAGATCCAATCGAATCAATCAAATGAAACTCAAGCCATTGATACAATAAAATATTGATGGGTTAAGGCCAAAGATAGTATTTGTAATAAAAATAAGTATGAATTCTTTGAAATAAAGACTCATTATATACACTTATTCTTTAATGTTCAATATTAATTAAGGTGTCTAGTATATTCCTAGCATATGCTATATTTAAATACTTAGCATATACTTAGAACGTACTATCAAATTAAAGTAGATACCTGTTGCATACTGTACACATTCTTGAAGTACATTCTCAGTATCTAGCACGCATAAACAACGTCACGTAGCATATGCTTAGCATATTCTGAGAATGTACCAAATGCAAATACATTATATTCTCAGCATATGCGTATTCTTAAAAAGTATATAAAGAATATGCTAAGAATGTATAATTGTTATCTGGGTGGCGTATCTTATTAAAGAAAAAATCACAACTCCTCGATTTTTGTGCGAAAAAGATTATTAAAGTGATGTGCAGTAAATACAAATTTTGTGTAAGGTAAATATAAAAAAATAAATCATGAAATAATAACATAATATGGTGTGCAATAAACTTTATAATGGTTTAAACTTTAAAACCTATTGGATTTGGAATAAAGGTATGCAGTCGAATAGAATGTGGGTAAAAAACTTAAAAACAATATTTTTTTTTAAGAATAATACAATATTTATTACATGTAAAGATGTTAAACAAAATAAAATAGAATAAATAAAATAAAAACAAGATAAATAAAGATTTATTTTAAACAAATTAACAAATCCAATTTTGGAATTAATTTGAACAGTTTTACAAATTGGTAATAATGAGAGATTTTTAAATCAAAATTCAGATTTTTAAGACTAATTTTATAAAAGTTAATAAATCTATAAATTTACCATACTTAAGGTGGGGATTTTAAATGGAACGAAAACACGTAGAACTATACAACAATAAACCTGCGTTAGTGCTAGGGCGTTGAAAAAAAACTCCGATTTTATTTATTTTCGTTTCTAACCAATACCTACTACTTTTGTTTTTATACTTCCTCTTCTATTTTTCTTGAAATATTCAACTTTTTTATGGTCTCATAATGAATGCGAATATTGAAATAATAATGTTTTAATCTTTATCAAATCTAGTTCGTTATTTTCAAAAATATCGCCATCAAAAATATGATCTTCCTAAAAAATTGAGTATGTTAGATTATAAGGTTTTTACAGTATTTAAAATTAATATATCCTTATGGTCAGAGCATTACACTCTTTTTTGGATACCTTCATTTCATCAAGTCCTACAAGAGAAGCCAAATATTTCTTTTATGCCTATCAGTTGGGAATCTAAAAAGTAAGCATAAGCATATTTATTTTACTATTAAAGCCCAAGTGTTTCTATTAATAACAATTTTTTGCAAAATTAATAACGTTGAAATATCAAAGTAAATAAATAATAGTAAAACAAAGGTAGATATTACATGTGATATTACGACAAAAATCTTTAAATCTACACCACTGAACAATGCAATACATATCAATATTGTATAATATGTTGCCCATTTACAAAGAATGTTGATAGTGCGATTTTTAACGTTTACTGACATGGGCGTAGAAAAAATAACTTAATGTATTTTGTACACATTTTATACGTTTTTTGTTTTGTTACAAGTCATTTTATTTAGAGACCTACTATTATGGTCCGGGAGGTAATGACAGATTTCAAAAAACCCTTTTCGCAAGCTTTATTTTTTAAATATGAGTTATTTAAATAGCATCTAACAGTAAAATTATCGTCTTCCATTCCAGTTGTATGACAGGGGGTTGCGGGAGGGTTGCAATTCCAGTAAAAAAATTATAAAAAAAAATCATTTTCGCATGGATGAAACTTGGTGTACATGTTGATATGAACATAAAAATATTAGAAAATGTCGTCTTCCACCTGAATTGTACAACAAAGTACGTCTTCCATCCACATAAACAGGCGTAAAAAAATAATAAAAAAAATTATAGTCGCAAAGGTGAAACCAAGTGTAATGCTTATTTTTATAGTAAGAAAAATAAAAATAATAGTCTTCCATTAATAAAACACAACGAAGGTCGTCTTCCAAGCTGATAAAGGTGTTTTCGACAGCTAGAACGTAGTATCTTTACGTTTTCGAAAAATGATCATTGGTGTAAAATTTTAAAAGAACTATTACGAAGTTAATATTTATGTTATAAATTATTCATTCAATTACTATAACTGCACATTTTATCGACAAAATCGAAATTTTAGTAAATAGATGAAATACGATAAAATTCTGTTGTAGATTTAAAAGTATGCAATACATTAATTATTTGCAATATAATTTAGAGATAAGTTCGAATGGAGTATTTATAATTTCTCTAGTTAAAGTAAGTAAATTTAATAGCACAAAATATATGTATTTTATTGGAATTTTTATTGAGCTTATTATCAATTTTTTTTAACAAATTACCTAATAATAAAATTAAGACTAAAATGAAAACACCGGATACATATAAATGTAACAGGAAGAGAATAAAATTTAAATGTTTTTCAAATTTTAAGAGAAAATGAACAAAATTCAAAAAGTATTAGGTACTACAATGACAGAGATAAACCTAGTTTAATTTAATACATACTCATATATCTTCTTTTAAATTTAATTTTATTAA